TTCTCGTTGAAGATGTTATACATCTCCTTCGAAGCCATTGCCATAGTATTTTAGCGCCCAGAGTGGGCACAGCGCCCCGCCCCCTACATAACGGCTGCCCCGCTCTACTGCTTCCAGACCGTTGCGTACGCTTTATATATCATTTAATAGGCTATCTATACTGCTTCAAATTTGTCAACAATCAGGTGATATTGTCAATAATGAGGACGGTGTCAAAGTCTACAAAATCAAAACGCCCAACCCTATTAGAATATACCAAGGCCATGGCGCATGTTTTAATGTATTGTTTGATAAAGTTATTTGTACACATCACAGTTAGGGTGCACGTGATATCAAAGTACAGCGTGATTAATCAGCTGCTAGCAGCGCTGCGCCGGTTGTTCCTGTGTGTGTGTGTGGGGGGGGGGGGGGGGGGTCACACTTAATGGACCTGTTAAGAGTCCTTATTTTGCTTGTTATCAAGTCAAATATGATTTGATACATGGTGGCTTCACCAACCATCGTAGCACGCCGAAAGCACCATTGAAAGTTCCTTTTATTACTGATGAATCATTTCACTTAATGACATAGAGAGCCAATAGATAAATGAATGGTGTGTCATTTATTAATAATCCTCTGCAATTACATTTTCAACTGATACCTCACTCCATTTGCAAGAGGTAACTTGAGGGGTTTATCACAACGCACGTGACTGTTCTCGTTTGTTGCTTTTTTTTTTTCGGAAAAGCAATGTTATTATAAAGTATGTACATGTATTATAGACAACAGAAGAGTATGACAGTACCATCCACTACACGTGAGCACCGTTTTAAATAAAGTAATATAAATAGTTGCAATGTTTATTCAGTGTTGTTAATTGTTATTTATAATGGATATATGTTAATATAAAGTTTGTTTCTTTCGTAACCTCCGTACATTCATGAACAGGTGCGTGGTCCACCTCTCTCCATACATGATACATGTACAGACTTGACATTTAATATGGAATATTTCAGTTTGGAAGGTATGCCTAAGTTAAAATAAGTTGTTCTTTTTTTAAAAAAAATTAATATAAAATATCTGAATAAAGAAGTGTGTAGCCAGGTGTGTCGCTATGAATTAACTGACTGTCATGCCTGTTGCGCTGCTGCATTGTGTAATATGCAGTGATTTAAATGGGTAGTGCTCCTTGGTCATAGTTTGGCTTAGGCAAAGCATGGTTTTGTCCAAATAGTATTCATATATCGGCAACTACTGCATAGAAGAATCTAAAATTTTGCAGGCAAGCGGTACCGCTCAACTAGTCAAAACAGGCTTTACAGACACCCAGAAAGTCTACGACGAATCTTGTGCCGCAAATATAGTGACTAGGGGCATCGAGAGCGTCAGTTTTTGGAGTGGATACCACACTGGTGCCAAAACTCCAGTGGTAGTCATCGATGAAAACCTGAACCAGATCAAATAAGGGAATAATCTGGGAACCACTTGACAATCATTCGATATGGGACACCTTAGGAACAATTTTAGGTTGCATGGTGAGATTGCCGCTGAACTTAAAAACCTATCCCAAGGAATGCCTTACTGCTTGAGAGACTTGGTAGCTGCCAGAAGAGGTCGGACGTAACAGCGACCGTTGCTGTGAATAGACGCTGATAGACGCTGACCTTAGGGTCCTTTGTGGAGCGTGTAACTCTTTTACAGACGATTATTAGGAGAATATGGAGGTCCAAAATATCGCTTATAATGGTTTTCGTTGTTTGCTTCACTGGTGAATTCAATTAATGAACTGATGTCACAATGACATAAAAGTGATAATTAAAAGTAATTAAAACACGAGATTTTAATCCTTATTTAATTTATTCCATATTAAATGTCAAGTTTGCATAAAGATACATAAGAGGAGGGGGAGCTTTTAGTTTACCCATGCCAACGACGTAACTGTGTCAGTAGCTTACTCGGTATGGTACCACTTTATACCAAAAGTATACCGCGTTCAGCAGAAATAATACTACTCGGGGTGGGTCTTTTTTTTAAGCTGTTTTAAGTTTCATCCAGAAATCGTTTCTATGCCATTGATTTCAACCAATATATAGTTCATTCCCTGGAGACCTTGCTCGTATTTCCTCTCCCTGGGCACTTTTCTTCGTAGTCCCCTCAAAACTGTCCACTGTTTATTTAATAATGCTCGGAGCAACTTCACAGTCAACATGCATTATGGCAAATACTACAAAACAAAATTTGTTCTGCTCGCGACCGCTTTTGTTCTGCAGAATCTCATGACTTAGCAAAATGATAATGGAACACAATTCATTTTATTTTTAAAACATCAACTTGTATTTGGAGTAGCACCAATAACCAATAAAGTCTTATCTATATAATTCCTGATTTAAAAGAGATATATCAACCATAGGTTTGTAAATATTATTCACATGAAAATTAAAAAAAGAACATAAAGTCAAATAGCTTCATTTACAGACCAAAAAAGCAGTCCACTGTTAATTAATGAAGTTCAAAAGTTTCTGTTCACACACAAAGGCCGACAGATGGCTTATCTTCCTCCCACCAAGGCTGCTCTACAAAGCGTAGTCTTGCGAGATGAACACATCTGAACCAGTACTTCGGTGCCATGTGGTAATATACCATGTGCTCACTCTGGTTGGACTTGTGCGGAACAGTGAACCCTTGTGGACACATTTGCCAAAAGCTAATTGTTCTGTCCAGAGACTGACAATGTGCAAGGGCACTTAAAATGTACTGTTTATTGCACATGCAAGGGAGATTTTAACGCCTAAAATACTGCAAAGTTTTATAAAGAGTCGTAAGGTGATAAAAACAAAGCATGGAAATGACAGGTTACTAACTTTGAACTTTGAACCTTTAATTACATGTATCTGCAGCGGTAATGTTTTTGATCGGATGTTTGTAAACTTCACACAATTGTTTTAACTTACTGGATTAAAAGTATGAACATCTTGCTCAAAAGTAAAGTTCCTAGCCAGTTTTATAGATTTGCTTTGTTTAATAGAACTTTAAACGCTTGTTAAATGCTTGTTGCTAGGGTAATATGCTGCCTAGCAACTGTGGTTAAGGTTAATTTGGGTTTTAATGGCCTTAAAATAGTCTAGAGATAGCTTTGATGCCTTGAAACCTTGTTATTAGCATTTCTAAATCATTTAAACTGGACAAGCAAGGTCTAATTAGCTTGTTTCCAAGGTAACTCACTTCCATAGCAACGGTTGCTAATTTTAAAATTTTTGGCACTACCCTTGAAAATGATCAGCATACTGGTAGTCCAAAACACATTTCTGCCATGTTTCATGCTTTTTCACCCTGAGCTTCAGAGCTAACTTGACACTAACCTTTTCACTGTAGCCTATCTCCATCGTGTCAAGTAACCTCTGACGAAAATAGTTTGACCTATTTTATATAAGCCAATCGGATCCATGTTTCAAAATTTTTCACCAAAGTTTGGTGAAAACGCTGATTGGTTGATCGTCAATCGGCAATCCTCGGCTGATTCCGCAAGCTCCATACTAACAACATAGTTATTGTCGAGTGCGGAGACATCCGAGTAGTTCCGAGTGCATAACCGTACACAAAGAAAGCATGGAGTATATCGGAATTGAAACCAGAGCAGTTTGATGCCCTGCATAATTATCTACTGAGGGATGATGTATTTTGCGTGCTGCCCACAGGTTACGGCAAGTCCCTGATATTCAGCCTTATCTTTGATTGGTCCGGATTTGAACAAAGCGCGCTTTGACTCGTTCGCGTTCATTGGCTAGATCGTTCAATGAGTCATTGAGTGCGGGCTTTAAATTTGATTGGCGGGCGGCGGGGGCACTCGAATCTGGTCAGAGGTTACTTGACACGATGGAGATAGGCTACAGTGAAAAGGTTAGTGTCAAGTTAGCTCTGAAGCTCAGGGTGTGCTTTTTCCACATTCTGAGCAATTTGGACAATATATAGTACCAATCATCCAGACTACTGTAATGAGTTCTTTGCTTCTTTTCTTTATTATCTTAGCCTAAAGTTAATACTGACATCAAACTGTCGATATGGTTTTCTGGGGTGTTCTTTTCTTTTGAATGACAACTTATGTCAGATTTAATATTATTGACCAAAATATCTCACAACAGAAGACTGGATGTTTTATCACTCAGTGACATACTCAGTACCTTTTTGATGCATAAAGCCAAATAAATTTAATTTGCACTCAAAAATAACAAATTATATATTAAGTATTAACCCTGTAGGTGCATATCGCACTTTGAATTCAAACATTTATTTATTTGTTTGTTTGTTGGTTTGTTTGTTTGTTTGTTTGTTTGTTTGTTTATAGTTTCGTATAAATAAAAAAACAGAAAAGTGTCCATTATTATCAAATGCATCGGAATGCATACATTGCAATACGATATATACAAGATATTACACTGTAAATAACCCTTTCTTTGCTTTACAATATTTAATATGGTTACATTTTTCCAGTGTGAATTCCGGTGGGAAGAGAAGTGAAAAACTCAGAAAAAAAACATGACAAAATAAAATCCTAAAATTATTCGTTTGAACAAAGTCTCATCCTTTTCAGTCTATTTGATAAGGTTTAGACACTGGCAGAAGATTTTATCTATGAAATAGTTCATGTCGCTCTAAGTTAGCCTACGTAGGCAACCTGAGAAGGCTTACGAACTATTGCAAATTATCCAAAAGTCCAGAACGTTTTTAACCACTTTACATGAACTTTAGAACCATTTTCTTTCCTTCAACTATCCAGTTAGCATGTAGATTGCCAAGATGATTATTATGATCGTTATAATTATTTTTGTAAACAATTCTGTCTCCTTGAGAAATGAGCTTGTTAATTGATATTTTACTGTCACCTGAACTCGCCGCTGCCTCGATTACAAACTGGCCTGTGATGACGTTTATGTCAGTGGTTCTCGTGGCCTGAGCTGGCGTTTCTACCAGTAGCTGACCTCTCCTGCCGCTCGGACCTGATGACCTTTCGTGACCGAGGCCGACTTCCGGTAGTAATAGCAACGTGAAACTTGAACCTGATAAGCAGTCATATGATTGTAAGAGGCTGTCCCATTGTGGTTCGGCTGCTTTCTAGTACAGTTATCAGAATCGTTTATCACAAAAAAGAACTTTTACCAGTAGCATATAACTTTGCAGTATTTTCAAGGTGTAAATTTTGCGTAAACATGGGCGAAGTTCGTGAATTGTATCCAGAAATCGAACCTTTCGATTCTGGTAAATTGAAAGTGAGCGATGTCCACGAAATTTACTACGAGCAGTGCGGAAAGAAAGAGGGGAAACCAGTGATATTTGTGTAAGTTCAAAGCGGCACAAGGTGCTCGTTCATTGGTGTGTCAGTGGCGGTTTTGTCAACTCTGCTGTTAGGACTGAGGGCTTACAATATCGCGCAATCATTCTGGTGCATGTACTCGTATTATCTTTTCAAAGTTTTTACAGCCAGATCGACCCAGTGAAGAATCATAAGGCCCATAACCCATACCCGTTGTCGCCGATTGTGCATTTTCCTTCCGCTAAATCAATTAAAGGACCAGGACAGCCATGTTATTTATATTGATTTTTAAATTAATTTACTTACAAAAACAATACGTATAAAATATGTGTTACACTGTACTTCATTATTCTAGTCTATTTAACTTACTGTATATATTCTGGGCATATACCAATGTACACATGCATGTTCTGTATGTTGCCAATAGGGGGTGTACTGTTTGCCTCACATGCATACATGTATTCAAGGGATAACTTCCATAATCTACTGCCCACATTTAAAATGCTCCATTTCCAAAATACAATGCAAATGTTGAACCATGCATTTAGCACATGTGCATGGAAAGTAATGATGATTGATAGTGAAATGAAGGTTACTTGAAACTCACATAATACATGTACATGTATCAGCTATATTGTACCACAGTACCAGTAACTATAGAAACAGCATATAACCAGTAGCTGCTAGAACACTTGGCTTTTCTGTTATATCTGACACTGTGGATGCAGGCACATGGAGCATGCAGAACTAAATCTACTAATACTGTGTATCTTCCAGGCATGGAGGCCCCGGCGGTGGCTGCTCAGCTAGGGATAGAAGATTCTTTGACCCGGCTGTCTACAGGGTGGTCTTGTTTGACCAGAGAGGTGCCGGCAAGTCAACACCACCTGCAGAATTAAAGGTCATTCTGGGGGAACCCATGTTTTCACCGAATTATGTATAGAATTTCTAATTATTGTGAACAATACACCAAGTTTTAGAATGTCTGAATTGTATATTGCAGCCAGGAAAAAGTTCCTAATGTCACACACAACTACTGATACAGGTCTTTTATATCAGTTGTTAATTAATTAGAATTAATTAATTTTTTAGACTATAATTTTCATTTTATATCCAAACACTTTGTAAGTGTATATTTTGATCATGGTCAACTTAACAGTTTAATTTTGTTTATAATATAGGACAACACCACCTGGGCGCTGGTGGACGACATCGAGGCACTGCGAAAACACCTGAACATTGACCAGTGGGTGGTATTTGGGGGCAGCTGGGGGTCCACGCTGTCCCTGACCTACGCTGAGACACATCCAGATAGGGTGAAGGCGCTGGTGCTGAGGGGGATCTTTACTCTGAGGAGGTATAACTCCTGGGCAGGTTCACTGCAGCCAGATTAAACCACGTGAATGTTGCCTCTTGTACCAGAGCTGCATAAATTCAGTTTGATTCAAATCTCGAGTTGATTACAAAGTGAAACAAAAGCACTCAGAAAGTGCAGACCTCTGCCAAGACAAATTACTAACTAAAATTTAGGTATTAATTTATTAACTAATTGTTAATTTACTAATTATTAAACATTAATTAATTAGTGGATCATCATCAAAATTTGTGAGCTATTCTGAAAATTAAATTAAAATTCATTCATTTATGTCTTACACAACTACCTGCAAATGGTCTATTGCTGCTCAGGTGTGTGCATTACCCCTTTTGTAGTTACATGTCATGTTACTAGATACTGTGTGACAACACCTTGCCAGAAAGAAAGCTATTTAGTAAACAAAAGTCAGTATGGCAGGATCTAACTGCAAAAGGCCTACATGTAATAAAGCATCTCTGGGGTAGTGCTAGCAATTTTTTTCGCTTAGCCAAATTATCATTTTTTGGCAATTTGTTATCCAAATGGTGTTAATTTGACTAAAATGAGTCAAATCAAACCCTTTTTGTTTAGCCAATTTAAGTCAGTTTTAGCATTTGGCTAAATTGGCAAGTGTAAGCGCTACCCCAGCATCTATCAGAGATTTCTCAGTGGATGCTAGAGCATGGACATGTTTATTGTACTTATGTTAAGGCTTTTTTCAGCAAACCATCCAGTCGTCATTTGGATGGCTGCCAGCATCACCAGACAGCCAGTATTTTCAAAGACTGCAGGACGGCTTATTAATTTTTTTTTTTTTTTTTTAAATGATGGCTTGGACTCCCTGAAATTTTGTAGGCAATTACAGGTGATAATTTTGGACAGCCTGTGCCCTCAATCCTGGGAAAACCCCTGACATGTGTATACTTGACCTTGTGTATTTTGTTGCCTTTACCAGGATGGTCACAACTTGTGTTACATGTATCATACATATACATGAGCCTGTGTTAGAAGACTGCTTTCTTAATTATCTTGAGTGCATCTCAAAAAGTCTTCTGTTAGGGTGCATTCCCAGAGATTTAGATCAATCCAGAGATTTAGATTTAGATCGACCTAACTCCCTGGGGGTTCATGCTAAATTGCAGTCAGCCGAGCGCGCATCATAGTTAATTACCCCCTTACAGCTTTAAGTAGGCGGGACAGACGCTTAGATTAAATTTTTCTTTCTATTTCATTTCATTACTTAAATTATACTTTCTAGGAAAGAGTTGATATGGTTTTATCAAGAAGGGGCCAGTTTCATTTATCCTGATGAGTTTGAAAAATACTTGGAACCCATCCCTGAGGTGAGTATGTGGACATTTGTTTTTCTGGGGCTTTAAAATAGATTTATATGTATGAAAATTTAAAGACTGGTAAATAGCCACAGATTTTTTGTTAAATCATTTTTTGCATAAATTCTGTATCCACCTTCGCAATTTGAAAACACATGTCAGCTCAATGTCTGGTGTGCTAACTTTCTACAATGCTTTCGTTACTACAGTAACTGTGAAAGCATAAAAAAATAATGAACTTACGTATCAAAGTGAAAGGTGAGTTATTACAGAAACTGAAAGAGAAGAACAAGCTGAACACAGTGGTTGATCATATCTGATATGTGTTCCCCTTTCCCTGTCCCCAGGTGGAGCGTGCCGACCTGATGAGTGCCTACTACAGGCGTCTAACTGGACCCAGTGAAGAGGAGAGACTGAGGTGTGCCAAAGCTTGGAGCAGGTGGGAAATGGCTACATCCAGGCTGTACCAGGACCCAGCCATGCTGAAGAGGGAAGAGAATGCACAGTGGGCACTGCAGTTTGCCAGAATTGAAAGGTACTCGTGATTAAAAATTGATTGAAAGGTTAAAGGGACTAATTTGATTGAAAGGTGTCTTTAGGGCCATTCAGAATAGACCCGAGTATCAACAGATCCAAGGATCAAATATGGCAGACCTTACATGAAAGGAAGACCACTTAATCCTGTAATGGTCTCTACACCTCTCACATAACTCCCCACGTATCCGGTCCAATGGAGCTGAGATTTAATAACTCTGCCCCTGCATTAGTCTTGAGAGAAAAATCTTACTAGATTGAATTCTTTGATTAATAAGAAAATGAAAAGATTTAAGTGGTGTTTTTGAGCAAAGTAGAAACTTTTCCCAGAATTTAAATTAAAATTGTTTTTGTCAGTCCAGGTTATTATTATATAGAACTACACATATTTCACTTTCCCATGCCGTGTCATATTACTACTGGTAGTACACATACATGCAACATGTGGTATCAGGTGTGTGGTATCAGGTGTGTGGTATCAGGTGTGGGACTGGAAACAAGTGTGATCTATATTTAACTGTATAATATCTTTATGTCTATCCTTTACTGAAGAATAACCATACATATATCTTGAGATTGTAAACTTGTGTGTAAAAACTACCAGGATTTCTGAATTTTACCCCTGCCATGAAGCTTTATTATTTTCTACTCTTTTCTGCCAATATATTATTATTATTATTATTATTATTATTATTATTATTATTATTCCAGTCACTTCTTTGTCCATGGAGGATTCTTCAACACAGATGGCCAGGTATTGAGTGACATTGACAAGATCCGTCATATCCCGTGCACAATAGTCCAGGGACGGTATGACTTGGTCTGCCCTATGCAAACAGCCTGGGAGCTACACAAGGTGAGAGAGAGCAAGAAAAAGAGAGAAAGAAATGTTGATTTTTAATTAGGAAGTTTCGAATTTAATTAGTTAATAAGTATTCAACTTTGTGTTGCCTAATTGACTGTTACACTGTAGCACTGTTATTAATCATAAGTTATCTGTTAGTTTCATGTATGCAGTCAGTTTATTTAGTAATATATTACTGTATAGAAATCTGTAGAGCAGTGGGATGTTAACATTGATATGACCAAAGTCACACAATAACATATACAATTACTTTCTAACACTGAAAATATCTATATGAATGGTTCCAAGTATATCCCAGTTGTACAGTACCCTAATTGACTGGGTGTGCTATTAGTTTTGTGGTTAAATGTATAAATCAATAGAGTTAACTCTGATTTGCAAGATCTCAAATAACTTTAATTAAAAAAAAAAAAAAACAAGTATCATTTATTCCTATGTATGTATGCATGTGCATGAAGCCAGTGCAGGGGCATAAATTATACTATTTGTATGTGTGTGTAGAAGTAGACATGAGTTGAGTCTGTGCTTATATGCCTTGTCAAGGTCCCAGGTAAGGGAGCAGCCAAAGTATATTTTTCTCACACACAACTGTACAGCATCCCAAACCAATCTACATAATTAAGAATGTCCATGGAAAGTGGTCTTTTACAATGATTCTTTACAGCATGTTTTGTATTTTTCAGAGATTTCCAGAAGCTGACTTCATAGTTGTGGATGATGAGGGGCATTCTGCCAAAGAAACAAAGATTTCTTCTCATCTAGTGAAAGCTTGTGATAAATACGAGAATCTGTAGTAATTATAGCCCTGTTATAGTACATGTATTAGTACTCCATGAAGTGCCAGAAACAGTATTACAAGTACCAGGACCAGAAATAATTGTCATATATAACTATTATGAAAACTGATCTACACCAAAGATGATCTCTCTCTGTTTTCACCATGCCCCAGAAGTTGACAAAGACTGCGTGTTATGTCTCATACCACACTGTGGCGTAGACTTCTGATCCTAGGAGGCACATTGAAGCTGGTCCTTCATGTACAGACACTCTTATGGTAGGAATAACCTGTATCTTGTTGATCAGCTATGGTTGTATATCTGAAAATTATCTGGGTGTTATTGAATATTGGAAAAGCAAACTAACCTTGACCAAATATGAAATTCAGGCAGACAGGTACATTTTGTGACATGTCTCGTGGCAAGGGCAACATATTGTTGTTCAAAGAAAGATGGCTAATTCTTTTTTCTGAGAACTCAAACTTTAAATCATTGTTTTAGATAATTATATTACATTTCATTTTGAGCAATCAGATTCTGAGATTAGGAATATTCATAAATTTGAAATTAATTTTACAAGACATTTTATATTTATCACTTAGAAATAAGATGGCCTGTATTTATAAATATAAATTGAACTGTTTAAATGGAAAATAAAATAAAATAATGATCTCATTTTTTTATTCATTTTTTGCTTTTATTTGAACAGTACATTTCAATTTAAAATTAAGAATATAAATTAAGAATAGCACATAGTGTAATATGAAGCAAAAAATAAAGCCTTCCACATTTTTAAAAGTAATGGTATTTGATGGAAAGTTCTTTTGATATAATATTAAGAAAACTCAAGAATAGCACACACTATAATATGAAGCAAAGAATAAAAACTTTCCACCTTTCACTGACATTAAATCTAGCCAAGTACCAACATACTGTTTGAATTAGTATAACTGAAATAGATAACACGAAGTTACATTGATAATCAGCCGTGCAATTTTTAATGTACCGTGGGAAGAAAAAACATAATTAGAGGCCATTCCCATAGCTTTAGATCGATCCATCTAGATCGACCTTACTCCCTGGGGGTTCACGCTAAATTGATGTCAGCCGAGCGCGCACGGTAGTTAATTACCTCCTTACAGCTTTTAGTAGGCGGGACAGACGCTTAAGCCGGGTAGGCTGACAGTAATCTAGTGAGACTCCCCACAGGGATAGATCGATCAAAAATCTGTGGAATGGGGTCATAAGACGCACGTCGCAAGCTTTGAAGGAGAAAGTGCCCCTTACGTGTTGAGGTCGGCGCACGCCCTCACAACTTACGAACAAAAAATCGAACGCACGGCGGGTGCGTCACACCTACATCATGGGCGGATCCAAGATTATTTGAAGAGGGCGCGAATTTTAGTCTGACTTTGTGGTTTGAACGTCCCTGGGAGAGTGGTAGGTTGCGTGTCAAAAAATTAAGCTGATTCCTCTTAGTGAGACCCCCCGCAGAGTTGTACCGACCCAGGTAGTACGATGTGTGAATCTGAAGGCGGTCTTCGAGGAAGAGAGGAGAAATGCAGAGCAGGCCCGTAGCCAGCAATTTCAAAAGGGAGGTTCTTTTTCTGAAAAAGTGGACCTTTTCCCATAAAAACCTCATGTACCTAGATCAAATTTTTCCCAGAGTGGACCTTCCCCCCCCCCCCCCAAAGTGCCAAATCTGCCCACCACCTGTCCTATTTATACCCAGCAGTACATTACATGGATTGTGGAAATATTACCTATAAACTTAAAATGTTATTTAGTCTTACGAAACAACATCTTAGTGGGGCATGCTAAGGGGCGCCACCGTGACACCTGCAATGCCGTACATACAATTGTAGTTAAACTTGAATGGTTATTGGTGCAGTTACATTGCATTATTATTTTGAGAACGCTTTCTTTAAGATACTGATAGGAAAATTGTGTTTCTTGTAATACTCCAACTAGAATAGAGCCCGCAGAATAGAGAATAGAATAGAGAGCAAAGCAGACTGATTAGCTATCTATCTTCAAGTGAACATATTTTCAGTATTGGCATTTTCTGTGTACGACATAGATCTCCCACGGACCTAAAGCCCAGTACATATTCTAGTATATTACTGAAATTTGGCTTCGATTATGCTGTTAGTATTATAATAAAGCATCAAAATTGACCAAAAAAACAGCTAGCGAACTAACATAGCGGTCTTTAGTGCAGGCATAGCTCTGAAGTTCTATCCATGCTTGGCCTTCTGTCACTGGATGGTTGATAATCTTATTTCAATAACATGCTAACAGAACGCAAACTCAGTTAAAAGGTACATTTGAATCGAGCGTCGGTGGAGCGTGAATACCCAGTAACGCATTTTAATGCGCATTAACACATTTTAAAAAACCCTTTCTATAAGTTTCTAATATGACTCAAATAATGTCAACATGCCAAGGAATAAACAAGGAATATCTCCCCAGTAACCTATTGCCCCATATTATACACAGAAAGCAAGCAGAAAAGTCTGTTCAAATATCACTTTTCGGGTAACATTAAGCAATGTATTTTGGTTGTCCTGTAAATTACACCATTTAGATGTTGTAACATTTGGTTGGCTTTTGGTTGAATTAATCACACGATCAGACAAAAAGAGCTATAAACTGCAGTTTCTATAAATTTTGATCGTAAATATGACCTACTTATCAAATCGATCTTATCTAACTTACCTACTTATCTAACATACTGCCTACATATCTACCCAGTATCCTACTGCCCCATATTATACAAAGAAAGCAAGCAGAAAAATCCGTTCAACTATCACTTTTCGGGTAACATTAAGCAATGTATTTTGACATTCCTCTAAATTACACTTTTCTGATGTGGTAGCATTTGTCTGACTTTTGTGGCAAGAGATCGACTTCAAATGCATCTTTAACTAAATACGTAACTTAGAAGCTGACATTGCTGCATCAAGTGCGTAAATTGGACGAATTTTCTGCAACGTAGAATTTGATACTGTTGAATAATATCTATTCACCAAATTAGACGTTGTTTCTGGATTAAGGTACATATTTGGAAATTTGAATGCTGGGTACGCATGCACTAGTTTCAAAATGTTGTTTGCATCTTCGCTTATTGTCCCAAAATACCCTATGACGTCATATTGAATGACGCATGGGTGACATAAATCGTTTGGGGGCACCCAGTGACCATTCAGAAAATTTGGATTGTCACCAACGTATCGAAGGAATTCTTCAAATGTTATCTTTGGCATCCAACTTGGCGGTTCGTCTTTAGGAAAACTGAACTCTTCTCCAGATGGAAGGACACCAGATATCCGTCCACGGCGTTGGCCCACACTGACTNCAAAAATAAAGCTTTCCACATTTTTTAAAAGTAATGGTATTTGATGGAAAGTTCTTTTGATATAATATTAAGAAAACTCAAGAATAGCACATAGTGTAATATGAAGCAAAAAATAAAGCTTTCCACATTTTTTAAAAGTAATGGTATTTGATGGAAAGTTCTTTTGATATAATATTAAGAAAACTCAAGAATAGCACATAGTGTAATATGAAGCAAAATATAAAATCTTTCCACCTTTCACTGACATTAAATCCAGGCAAGTACCAACATAGTCTTTGAATTAGTATAACTGAAATAGATAACACGAAGTTACATTGATAATCAGCCGTGCGATTTTTTATGTACCGTGGGAGGAAAAAAACGCTATCTAAGACGTGCGTCGCAAGCTTTGAAGGACCAAGTGCCCCTTACGTGTTGAGGACGGCTCACGCCCTCCCAACTAGCGAACAAAAAATCGAACGCACGGCGGGTGCGTCACACCTACATCATAGGCGGATCCAGGATTATTTGAAGAGGGCACGAATTTTAGTCTGACTTTGGGGTTTGAACATCCCTGGGAGAGTGGTAGGTTGCGTGTCAAAAAATTAAGCTGAATCCGCTTAGTGAGACCCCCCGCAGAGTTGTACCGACCCAGCTAGTACGATGTGTGAATCTGAAGGCAGTCTTCGAGGAAGAGAGGAGAAATGCAGAGCAGGCCAGTAGCCAGCAATTTCAAAAGGGAGGTTCTTTTTCGGAAAAAGTGGACCTTTTCCCATAAAAACTTCATGTACCTAGATCAAATTTTACCCAGAGTGGACCTTTTCCCAGCAAAACCCCCCCTGGCTACGGGACTGCAGAGAAAACAGCAGACACCTGTTTGCTTCAAAAATGTTCAATTTAATTAAAAACCCATTCAAGACCCCCCTACTCTCAGGAATCCTAGGGTCTAAGTCCTGTTGTTCTTTAACAAAAAAAAACACACACACATGTTAGCTAATTATTGTTCTTGGTTATTAAACAAGGGAAATTGGTGTGTCGGTTGAAATGTGATCATACAGTCATTTTATTCTAAGTGCAGTCGCCGTTCACCTTCCGTATGACTTCCCAGAAGATGGATGCGTTGTCCGTACAGCTCCCTACATTCTTCAGCCCACGCGTGGTAAGAGTAAGTAAATACACAATTTCACATTCATCCAAGTGAATTACACAAAGTTTTAAACATTTTTACTGCTGTTATGCCTCCTAAAACCAAATGTGGAAAGAAAGGAGACCAACAACACGTTCACGAACAATGCCCATACAATAACTGTGCAATGCCCTATGTCCTATCTAATCGAATGACATTGCTACGGCGAACGACTTCACTACATGTATCTAAAAAGTGTGTTAATTGTTTTAGTTTGACACAACTGCAGAGGCCACATTGACCGTGGGTCCGTTGGAACAGGGATTTTCGGACAGTATGCGTGTCTATGTGCCCAGCTTGACGTGAACCGTAAAACCCCCTTTACACTGGACGGCGTCCTTTTTGTGTACTTTGTGCGACCATGAAACTGGCATTGCTGTGGTCGTAGAAAGGAGGCACAAGCATCGTTTTGGTAGCAAAATGAATGCTCAATGATCGGCCAGTTGTCGGCAAGTAAAGTCTTATTATTATAATCATTTTTTACGTTCAAATAGGGCCGTGCTACGGGACAGAAAAAGACGCCGTCCAGTGTAAAGGGTGCTTAACGACATCGCATGTCAAATGTGACGTACGGTACGTGTAGGCTTTACTGCTAGATTTTGGTGGTTTACCGGATCATCACCCAACTTAAAAATATTGACAAAAGGCAGTGATCTAAGGAACTGAAACGTTTGCATGACGAATTTATGTGACACATGCTTCGTTTGATCCGTCTCTCTCCACTGTACGCAGTACATATATTCACAGATCGAGAAGAAGTAAGCAACAACTGTTGTGGATTTCCAAACAGCTTTATTCCCACCGAAGTTCTTTTAAGAACTTAAAAGTTCAAAGTGCCAAATCTGCCCACCACCTGTCCTATTTATACCCAGCAGTACATTACATGGATTGTGGAAATATTACCTATAAACTTAAAATGTTATTTAGTCTTACGAAACAACATCTTAGTGGGGCATGCTAAGGGGCGCCACCGTGACACCTGCAATGCCGTACATACAATTGTAGTTAAACTTGAATGGTTATTGGTGCAGTTACATTGCATTATTATTTTGAGAACGCTTTCTTTAAGATACTGATAGGAAAAT